CTGAATAAAGCCCTCAATTGACACAACCATTAAAACAAACGCAAACATTGTTTTAACAAAGAGTTGTTAAACAAATCGACGCTTTCTATTAGAAGACAATTGTATTTTGAATTTATTTTTCATAAAAAAGAGTTTTCTATTGATTAAAATATTGTCTATTTTTGCTGTTAATTGTTATGGAAGTAAATTTATTTAAGACACATAATGTGTCCAATAATGTAATGGTATTATTAAAGTGTACACTATTGGGAAGTGTAGTGATTCGTGTGCGGCCTGTATTGGTCTGTCTAATGGTTAGCACAGGTCCAGGACTAACACCCGGGAGAGTTTGGGTCACAAAATAAATAGTGTTAGGTATTGTGTGTTTGGTATTGACATGAGTTTTTGTGGCTCAAGACCTAATTGTTTATACTGTAAGCGCTCGACTAGAATTCAGGAGAATCTCAACATTTGTACAGACAATACACAACTCTTTATGAGCTTTCACTTCAAACGCTCAACAATGCGTTTAAAGAGAAAATATAAAATTAATTTAAATTCACTGTTTTGCTGCTTTGTTTACAGCAAAACAGATTTTTGTCCCGAATTAACGGACAACAGGTATCCCAACGTAAAGATGAGTAAATATAAATACAGACTTAATAAAGAAATCCAGGATCTGATAAAAGACAACGATCTGGAAAGAAATCAGTACTGTATAGAACTCACGGGAGAAAACAAATCACACTTCATTGGCAAAATTGTTGGTCCACTCGACACTCCCTTTGAAAAGGGTGTCTTTAAGATTGATATTACTATTCCCGACAAATACCCATTAGAGCCGCCGGTCTGTAAGTTCGTGACCAGAGTATGGCATCCGAACATCTCGTCACAGACGGGAGTGATATGTGTAGATCTGTTGAAGGATCAGTGGTCCGCCTGTACCACTATAGAGGCTGTGCTCCGGTCGTTGCAGTCATTCCTCCCGAGTCCAAACCCCGCGACCCCTCAGGACGCCGTCGTCGCCGCCCAGTACACAGACAACCTTCAACTGTACGACCGGACGGCCAGGTATTGGACTTATCATTACGCCATAAATGACGAGACGCGCAAAACTGTCGACAAAAACCAATTTAAAGAGTTTAATGAGAAGATCGGCAAATTGATGAGCGCGAAGAGCATGGATCACAACACTGCCCTCACTCTCCTCTCCAATAATCATTG